AGTCTTTTAATTAATTCATTTGGAAAAAAGAAATGAGGAATATTAATAAAACCAAAATAAAATACACGCTATGTTACTAATATATTAAAAAAAATACATATAAACTGTCTTGAAATACCCTCTTTCAATCATGAATCCGAGCTCAAATTTGCTTTTATTTGAAGTCAGTTATCTTGTATTTTGCTCATCCTGGGATAAAGTTTTACATTAATGCTTGCAAAAGTTCATATATACAGTTGCACCGTCTATATTTTGGCATTGACTGACGAAATATAGGTTGAATTTTAAGATGACCTTATTTTGCTGCATCATAAATACCTTTTTCAAATTTTCTTTTCATAAATCATGCAAAGAATGCTACAATGAATTATGAATTATATGCTACGCAGAAAACTCAAGTGCATTCAGTTTCACGTACATGGATTCATCATCCTTACTTCAAGAAAGTTTTATGAAAAAGATTTTTTTCGTGCGAATTAAGTGTTTCGAATTTCATTGGGGACAAATTCATTTTTTTTCTTTTAGAAACGAAAATCAAAAGATATATATAATACATTCTATATAATACACTTGTGCAATAATTGACCATGTACTTTTTAATTTTTTTTCACGAAAGGAGTTGGATAAAACCCTACCAGTGGAAAACCCCAATTTCCAAAAATTACGGAACCCACCACAATCTGAGCTTCAAATAATGTGGATAGGCCATGCCAGTGTGTTGGTACAGATGGATGGGGTTACTATTCTCACCGATCCAATGTTTAGGGATAGGTGCTCCCCTGTACAGTTTATGGGACCAAAACGATACCGTCCTCCACCCTGCAAAATAGAAGATCTACCACATATAGACGGTGTTATTATCAGTCATAACCACTTCGATCACCTAGACCTTGGTAGTGTACAAAGCCTCAATTCCAAGTTCAGTGATAAGATCACGTGGTATGTAGCAGCGGGAACGAAAGAATGGATGTTGAATGCAGGTTGTAAGAATGTGATTGAATTGTCATGGTGGGAAGAAGCGGAGTTACCTGGAAGACCAGATTTTAAGATTGCTAGCGTCCCTTGTCAACATCGTTGTCAACGTAGTTTATGGGATTATATGAAGGTAAATTGTAAGAGTTTGTGGCAAAAAGGACAAATAATTGGTAAACGTCAAACTGGCAATGATTATAAATAGTTGGATTTTTTTTCAGAGGTATGCTTTATATAAACAAGTAAACGTTGCAAAAAAGTTTTTGAATCCAATTCATGAATAGTAACAAGTGCTAGAAATTGCTTAAACATTAAGCCACAGCAAATTTTCTTATGAATTTCTATTCCTTCTAGGAAAGAATCATTGTATTCTTTTGGATATGTTTTCAGGCTCTCTGGTGTGGTTGGATAGTCAAGGGACCCACGAAGAGTTTCTACTTTGCTGGAGATACAGGCTACTGTAGTGCTTTCAAACAGATCGGAAGAAAGTACGGTCCTATAGACTTGGCTGCAATCCCAATAGGAGCCTACAATCCTAGGTAAGCTTACATGTATAAAATAGTCTTTGATTCATAGAAAAAGTTAATAAAGTTGAACTCGTACATTATAGAAGTTGGTAACAAGACCCCTGACAATCTCTCTCTCTCTCTCTCTCTCTCTCCTGGTATTCTAATGATGAGGATGAACAGAATTTAATTTATTTTTATCATATAGGTGGTCTATGAGACCTATTCATGTAGATCCGGAAGAGGCAGTGAAAATATTTGAAGACGTTGGAGCAAAGAATGCCTTGGGTATACATTGGGGAACGTTCAGGATGATAAAAGAGGTCCGTTATACTAATGTCAGACTTTTATTTGGCCTTAATTCAATATTGGTAGCCATTATTAAGTTATTTTGTGTGAACCACTTAATAGATTTCTAAATGATAGATTTCGACAATAACTCTAACTTTTATATGTACAGTTTTATTTGGAACCTCGGACAAAGCTTGGAGAGGAGCTGGATAAGAAGAATATAAGTAGAGATAAATTCTTCACACTCCGTCACGGTCTGGTACACACAATCGGACAAGATATACCTGAACAGACCTAATTATGTCTCTAACGTTTAGTTAACCCATGACCTACAATCCCACACAATAGAACGCCTTCATCTTTTCACATACTTTATGTTAAGATACTGATGATAATGACATTTCATTTGTTATTTATCACTTTCTAAAATTTTCTTACGAAGGACATGTACGTTATGATGAATTATATTACAAGTATTGTTGTCATTCTTTTGCATTTAAAAAAAATAAATAACGATGTACTTTTTATGCTGTATTTCAAGTATATATATTTAAACTTAAGAATTTTTTTACCTTAGTATTTACATGTATATTGAATTGAATCCCTTTTTTATATTGAAGCAAATTGTGATCCTCTTTACGAGGAATCTTCAGGAAAGCAATATACGGATTCTGTTTAAATTATTTACTATGAAAAAATTGCTGTCTCAATGTTTTTACTACATGTGTTTAATCCATTAATAATTCAAAACTATTATAATAATGTGAGTAAATGGGATATATATATTTTGAAGTATCTTCCTCTCATGACAGAAAGTAACAAAATTTGCACATAATTTTTTTAATGTATGGCTGTTGATTGTTATATAAATATAAATGGATGATAATATAAATGATAGAAATATGGAAATTAATTCAAGTTCAAGTCTGTTACATATAAAACAATGCAATTTGGGAGCAAAACAAAAACACTTACATTAAAATTCAGGAGTGGGTGTCCAAGGCATCAAATATAGAATTAGGTGGCAAGAGGAGTAACCATTCCCTGGATACGGCCAAACTCACCAAGCCCTCATCAGGATCTGGCAAGCGAAAAAAAGTCAGGTTCCCAAATGTACATATAGAATTGATTATCGCGTAATTTTGCGAGCAGCACCACACGCGAAATAAAATTACTCGCCTTTATTTTTATGGAGCTCAAATCTACGTAAATCTCTTGACCAACCGTCCATTCGCGAATTATTATTCTCGCGATTTGACTTTGAAGAGCCCATTCGCGATAATAAGACTAGTACTCGCAAAAATAAAGAATATACAGGATATGAAAAACTGTCAGCCAGCTCTTCATTGAAAAATAAATACTTTATGTTTCATAGAAATATTCACATATTTTAAGTGTCATCTTTGTTGTTATTTTCATCTGATTTTTATTTTTAAAAAAAATCTTTATTTGCACTTGAATAATTTATAATTATTTGTTAAGAACGCAATACTGCAAACACAATACTGAATATTTTAATCAATAGCTTTCATTTGCCAGAAAGCTTTACATTGGAATGTGTTATTTGGTTACATCGATGTTTATTTTTGCAATTCAGCTGAGAGAGGGATTTCAGCAAAGATGTATTCTATTCATTGCAAAATTACTGGGGGCACCTCCTTTCTGGTTCCTACAGCCATGCTAAAAGAAAACATGACCTCAAAAGGCATAATGTAAAATCACAAACTACTGCTGTTTGGTTTGGAAAAGTGCTATATATAAATAATATGGCCTTATGCGATAAATGTTTGGAAAATTTACATGCACTCGAAACAAGGTTTAACGCTGATTGAACTTGGTGGGTTGATTACTTGTAGGTAATGAAATTGTAAGCTTTGAATTGTATTTCTTAGACATGATTCTGAATAATAAATTTGTGTTGGTGTCTTATTTCATTATGAATAATTTTGTCTTTTATTTCTTATCTTACTCTTTGTTATGTGGTCATTTTCAGAACTGATACCACATTCAAATATTAGAAGAAAAAATATTCCCTCGCTTTCACTGAAAGGGAGGTATTAATTTGGGTCTGTCTGTCCGTCCGTCTAGCTGTCTTTCTGTCTGTAACACTTTCGTTTCTGCGTGATATCTCAAGGCATTGAGATTTGGCAATGAAATTTCTCCCTGTGGCCTAAGGAGGACTCGTATTGAATTTTGGATGTAAAAATTCATTGCAAAAGCTCAAAGGCTTCTTTAGATATCGCGAGGAAACGAACGAAAGTGTGAAAGGCAGACAGAAAGACGGACGGACTGACGGACGACCAGACATTCCTAAATTAATATAACACCCGTTTTAAGTGAAAGCGAGAAAGAAAAATTGATATTGGAATTCAATTGTACCTCAATACATGATTGGAATTTATTTGCCGATGAAGTTATTTAACTTAATAATTTGTAAGATAAACCCTATAATATATCAGATTGTTGCCAATTTTCCCTACATTTTGGTTTAATTCAAAAATATTTAGAAAATAAGTAGTTGTTTATTACAAGAACAAGAATAATTACAGTTTAAAAATAAAATTACATTCTGAGAAAAATAAAGTCAGAAAAACGATCCATTTTTAAGAAAAGAGTACATTTATAACAAAAAATTACTTTAAAAAAAGCACACACACTCGAATTAGTAAAGATCTATATTGATAATTTTACTTTTTGTCTATCCTCATATCTCTGTATAAAATTGAATATTTGTGAAGGGATTAATAAATTCAGTTAAGATCATTAGCAATGACATCTGAAATTTGACGGGAAAAGCTTGTTTTATCCTTAAATACTAAAAACAATTCTACGGTGCCTAGATGTCGAATCGAACATTTAAAACATAACATTCCACTATGCCTATGTTCTTCTTCATCCTGTTGGATATGTCATTATTGGTGACATACATATAGATGACAATTAGAAAAAAGATCATGACAGGATAGCCCAACATACAAAATGTCAACGTCTTTTTTTTACAGGATTCGCCATTTCTTGGCAAAATCTTTCACAGAATTCAAATTATTCATGTAAGCTTCGTTATATTAAAAAATCAGAATTCCCAATTTTTTTTTTATAGACAAAATATGAATACAAATATTATCTCTCAATGTACTTTACATGGATCAGGTAATTACAATTCATACCGATGAGACAGTGACCTAGCTCTTCTTGTCTATATGTCTGTATATATTTCTAGCAAATTGAAGTTTATGAAATATCTGCAAGATGATCTTGTCGTTCAATATATCTGTAGACGCACAGTTTGTTGTTGTTTGTAGATCCAATCCAAACAAGATGATTTTTCTCGTCATATCCCAAACCTAATGGCTGAACCATTCCATCTTGTTTTGTTAGTAAAATTGATAGAATTGATAGGAGATGGCCGTCCTTGTCGATCACGTGTATTGCGTGGTCCGTTCGACTACAGATCAGGATATTTAAGAATGCATCTTCGCAGGTTCCATATGGAATAAAGAACATCAATGCGGATCCCTTTGATGGTCCTCTGTAAGTGAAACGATAATTTCCTTTAAGATCTGTGACCACCAATCCACTGATTTTAGCAGACACAACAACATCTCCATTACGGTTCTCCGTGATATAGATAGGTCCACTATATAATTGCAGACCTAAGCTACCATACTGTATGAATTGTACTGGTTGCATTCTGCTATTATACCGAATGACTTTCACCTCGGAATCAATATACTTTCTAGCATTAAACTTCATCATGACCAGAAGATCTCCAGTGAAAGGTGCATAACAGATACACAGTGGTTCCCATAGTTCTAATCTCTTAATCAGTGTCGACTTCGTAGCATTGTCTGCACTTAGTTTATTAATGTTCAAGTTTGTGTCTGCATAAATCAGTTCTCCTGCATTGTTAACCGTATGCACTCCATAGTGATTATGAACATCAAACAAATGATGCAGATTCTTCCTTCAGAATTTGTCAAAATAAGACTGCATCCATCACTGACCCAAATCCTATCTGGTGTCACAAAGGAAATGTGTCCACCATGATTAAAGTTAGGCACAACAACATCCTTCATATTTATGATAGGCCCTTTTATCAGGCTCAACAAATGTTCATTTCTTACTTGTCTTTTTCCTGACTCTGTAGTTTTGATGTCAACCAATAGCTCAAAAATGTCCCTTATACTTATTTCTTTACTAAAATCCCATTTTATGTTATCAGGAAGTTCTATTGTCTTGGGGACAGGGGTTTTCTTTGTGAACTGCAGAAACTTGACAGACTTCTTCGCTAGTTTCTCGTATCTAAGTACATATTCCTTTATATTTTGATGCTTCAATACAAAATCCATATAAATATTTGTTTTACGTAAATCATTAAGTGCCTTACTATGTATTTCGATAAGTTTTACCAAGTTTGCAGCTTTAATTGCAACCTCTTGTTGGATGCTGGAAAATTGTGCTTTCAATGTTTTTCCGTCTATTTTGACGTCAGATTTGAGGCCTGCTAGGATCGCACGATTGTATGGGAGACTCTCGCCTCTAATCTGAATAATTCTTTCCCTGTGTTCCTGTCTTTGAACCGTACAGGCTAATATGATATCCAGATTTCCATGTCCTTGATGTTCATCAGTTCTATCACAGGTGGGACACTCACAGGATTTGCACCAAATTTTATATTTGCAGTTTGGGTGTATATCACATGACTCTGGTATTATAAAGTCCCCATGCTTTAAACGGTAAATAACGACATCATGGTCTTTGGTATCGAGGTACATAGCGTGTTTCTGCTTACATGTCATACACAGATTTTGTTTACATGGCCTACAGAAAAATCCTACGTCATTCTGACACTGACAGCACTGAAGCACTTTAAGTTGTGTTGTAATATCCTTATTCATGGTGTTACTTAAATATGTTTCTCATTTCGGATCAAAATGTCACTTTAGAGGACAGCCTGCAATAAAAATATACTTTTTTCATAGACATTAATTTTCAACATGTAAAATGATTTAAATAAATAAATGTACTTCGTCACTAAGACAAGTATCCCCCAGTAGTACCTAATGTCCTTTTAGTAACATAATTTCTTCAATTCTTATCCTTAATGAAAGAGCATATTTAAAATTTACAGATTTTGCAACTATTTAAATGAGATAAAGAAAAACTTATTATTTACACATAAAAAAAGAGAAAAGCACACGGCGGGTGTGACCGCTCGGCAGGGGATGCTTAAACCTCAATAGCACCTGATCCTGACTCTGATGTTTTAGAGGTCGGTGCTTGCATCCAGCCTATTTTTTTAAAATATCAAATTGACATATAAATTCGAATACTGTTCGTTATCTCCATATATTTTATACTTCTTACAATTGTTGTTCATTAATGGATTTGCCAAGTGAAGCTACGGAACATATCACAGGCGTATACCATGTGGGTGCCAACAATTTTGATCCTTTGAACTTGATCTTGAAGTTCGATCTTCCTTTGAAAACATTAACTTTGGCCATAACTTGAACTGTCCTGTTTCACAGCCGCATTCCTTGTTAAGACATTCCCTTAAGGGGCAACAACTCGACTCTTTGACCTTAGACATGTCGGTGATTGAAAATAACATAAACTTTACAACTTGGGCATACATTTTGAGCAGATGGTGTAATGACTTTCATATTTCGCACATGTATTCATTTTTACAAGCGTATAAACAATTTTGTTAATTGCAAGTTTGTGATAGGGATTCCATATTTCCGTGTTTACCTTGAGCACCATTTATTTTGACCTTTTGATCGTCATGACCTTGGAGGCTCTACATTTTCTTATAAAAATATGTTATTTTAAATGCCAAAAATATGCTTAAATTTATTTCAATAACTATAAATGCTCTACGTATGAATAATTTCTAAACTGCGGTAAATTATTGACAAACGAGTTGATAAAATAAGAATATCAGCAGTCTCGTTCAAGGTAATTCCATTCTTCTATGATGTCATAGGTTTTTGCAAAAACTGTAATTAGTTTACATTCATACCTAATAGAACAAGAAATGTTTGTAAAACACTTATGCCCTCCTCCCCCTAAATTAGAATTTTTCCAAGTCCAAAAGGGCATAACTCTGTCCAAATGGCACGATTGTACCCAAAACAGAACTTGACTTAGATAGTCATCTGATAAATCTGTATTGTAAATTTCACCTCAGTATGTGCAACAGTTGCAAAGAAAATGAATGGAAACTGCAAATAATTGGAATTTTTTTTAAGTCCAAGGGGCAGAACTCTGACAAAAATGGTGCGATCGTACCCAAAACAGATCTTGACTTAGATATTAATGTGATATATCTGTATACCAAATTTCATTTCAGTATGTGCAACGGTTGGAAAGAAAATGAGCTGAAACTGCAAATAATGGAAATTTTTCTAAGTCCAAGGGGCATAACTCTGCCAACAATGGTGCGTTCATACCCAAAACAGATCCTGACCTAGATATTAATGTGATATATCTGTATACCAAATTTCATTTCAGTATGTACAACAGCTGCAAAGAAAATGAACGGAAACTTCAAATAATTGAAATTTTTCTAAGTCCAAGGGGCATAACTCTCTTACAAATTGTGCGATCGTACCCAAAACAGAACTTAACCTAGATATTCATGTGATATATCTGTACACTAAATTTCATTTCAGCATGTGCAACGGTTGCAAAGAAAATGAGCTGAAACTGCAAATAATTGAAAAGTCCAAGGGGCAGAACTCTGTCAAAAATGGCTCAATCATACCCAAAACAGACCTTGACCTAGATATTCATGTGAGATATCTGTATACCAAATTTCATTTTGGTATGTGCAACGGTTGCGAAGAAAATGAACGGAAACTAAGTGGACCGACAGACCGACCGACTGACCGACAGACAGCAGCAATGCAATATGCCCTCCCTTCTTCGAAAGGGGGCATAACAATATCTCATGGACAAATGCTTTACATTAAGTGCAATTATAAATATTGTTAAGTTAAAGAATTTAAAAAATGCATTTTTTTTTTTTATATTTGATCAGTTATCTAATCTTTAAAAAATGTTGACAAGGGCAATTACTCCTTCTAGGGTCTCTTCATTCAGGCATTTGCTTTATTGTAAAATAGTTTTCCTGATATTCACAATTCAAAAGTATCTTTTGAGTAGGAAATATTTAAGAACATTCAGCATCAGAATTATACATTTTAACCAGTTTTTACATATTTTTTATGATACTGTTTTCAAAAAATGTGCGATTTTTGTTGTTGACATACACATCTGTTTATTTATGTTTCGCATCTTAAATAATATAGTGACCTATACATTTTTTGTAATAATTGGAAAATTTAAAGTATATGAAATGAAAATGAATGCAGTTTTTGTACTTTGAACCTATAAAATTGTGAGGGGGGAAACACCTTAAGTCATCATTTCGTTTATTCTTTGGTCGATACAATGACATTGTCAGCAAATGCTGACTGACTTGTATCATAATAGTTGTTAGGTTATCATTTACACATTCATTTGATGATTTTTCTGTTATTTCCTGATTATGACGGGTGTGTCCTTCGGGCAGGGGATGCTCAGTCCTCCATGACACCTGATTCCACTTCTGATGTTTTGAAGGTCCATGTTAGCTCTGCTTCTATTTTGTATTGTTTTATGGACTTTTGATTTTGAATTCTGTTCGTTATCTCCATATGTTTCACATTAACAAAGTACGTTATGCCTTAGAAAACATTCTTGGCAGGCTAAGCAGCTATTTTTCACCTTTTTCATGCAAAGTCATTAACATCGAATTACGTGTTGAAAATTAATAGATTGAATTGATATAAAGACATATTTTGCCACTATAAGCGTGACTAACTAATGTACTTTAAAGTTAATATTATTTATAAAAAAAAGTTACAGGTTATGTGCAAAAACGTCTATTTATACAGTTACTAGTACATGTATGTAAGGTGCACACTGACCCTTTTTGTAATTTCGAGTGACAAGGATCAAACGGCGAGTGTGACCGGTCGGCAGGAAATGCTCATCCAGGTCTCCGTAGCACCTGATTCCACCTCTGATGTTTCAAAGTTTTGAGTTTGATCTGCTCTTATTTCGTATTGTTTTAAGCTCTTTTGAGCTTGAATACTGTTCATTATCTCCATATGTTTTATATCTAAAATATACTTTTAATTCTTGAGATAAGCAAGGTCAGGCATGACTTATTTAAATGAAATATTATTGAGATTACAACAGTCTGAACAAAAAAGGGGCTGTGTTATTGTAACAATTAAACATTTTCTTCAAAAAATTATAAATGTTCTTATATAAGTAATATAGCTGAATTTAGCCTAGTAAAAAATTAATTTTATAAATACTTCTCAGTCGTGTTTTAATTTTCAGTGTAAATAAACAAATTTTAAAGATATAAATTGAATGGTCCAGTGAGTTTCTGGAGATCTTTCAAAATTTAAAATTCATAAATCACACTTAAATATATATGAAAATGAAAGCCTTAAAAATATTCAACATTAGTTTCACTGGAAACAACAGGACGAATTTAATTTTTCTCACATGAAAGTTACTTCAAGTTGATTTCACGGCGAGTAGAGCGGAATCTCTTAATACAAATTATCCTGGGGGCGAATCATTGTTGTTTCAACACTTATTAACCCAATTTTCCTCAACCTGATAAAAATATGCTACGGCTAATAAAATAGTTTTCAATAATTTTTTGTCTACTTACGAAATAATATTCATCACAGAATTTTATCGTATCTGTCAGAAATGAACAGTGAATTCTTTACAATCAACAGCGGCCAAAAATTAAAGCATTTTATCTGGTGCAAAAATGTCATCCATGCATAGGGAACGTGAACAAATAAGTATGGGTCAAATTGAGACCCAGGTGACTCGGTCATCGAAAGGTTTGAAAGATGAGAAAACATTAGAACGTACTCTCAGTCACATTTCTCTGTTTCAGTAAGATTACATTATTGTGTTATATTCACATGTACATCCACTTAATTTTTTTTTCTCTTTATTTCTTATGAGGACCATTAAATTGCCATTAATCAGTGCATAAAGAACACTAAGCAAGCCGCTTACATATATATCTTTAACACTGGCTATTCCATCAATTATGTATACAATGATATATATATATCTGTTATTCAATATTTAACGTATTTAATTTTACATTGAATGTTTTTTTATACAAATGTAAATGTAAACAATATATTGTCTTTTTTGTTTGCTAGTACGGGAATTAACGTCGCTGCTATTGCAGAAAAAAAATTACATTTCAAGCTTACGCGGGTTATGTATTCTTCTCTACAACAGCTGCGACATTACTTTCAGCACAAAAGAAAGCATTTTATCATTTAATTTAAATATTTTTTGTTTTTAGTTTAATTCTGACCTAATATTTTCTTGTGAATCAATTTAACTTTAAGTTTCTTCATGCTGGGAATAAATTTTTACGATGAAATATATATTAATTATAATAAAGAGCAAAGATTGTCTCAAAATGAATAAGAGAGAATGGTTAATTACATTAATATGTTCTATTTTATGAATATACAAGATATGATAATTCAAAAATCAATTCTTATCATTGAACGCTTTTTATACTATAAGATAACAACTTGCCATGCTAAGCCATGCTAAAACAAATTAATAATAGTTTACTCTTTATTCAAACTTCATGTATATGATAACAATGGATTAAGATTTTGTGAATTATTCAGTAATATTTTACGCATTTTTGATAATTTTAATGTAGCTATTAAAACGTAATGGAATGATAAATATATATGTAGTTTATACCTATGTGATCATTTATACTAAAATAAAGTAGTAAACTGTTTCAAATGAAATACTTTTGTACAATCAAATATATTGT